GCTTGCAGCAAATTTTTTATCAAGTGATAGCAAATTGAATCTTGCAAAAATGTCACCTACACATACTGCTTTAAACATAAGAATTTTAAATTAATAATGTTTAATGTTTTTGTCTAATTATTGCTCTCTTCAGTGATAACTAGGAGCAATATTGCCTTATCAGTAGCCATAGTTTTATCATTACAGAGTTGAGATGTGCACTGAATGAAATAAATTGGCACTACAATAGAGTGTGGGCGTATTTCTGTGTGTAATGTTCAGCTATAGATTCCAAAGTGACACTCGTCATTTGTTCTTGCCTTCAGTTGCAGATGAAGTTGAAACAATAATACACTCAATAACACCTTTGCTTTCTAGAGAGGAAAATTGGAGTGGTCCTTGCAGCAAAGGGTTGCAAGGGGAGCTCAAGGCACAAGTCCATAGCAGCCCTAACCTGCTGGTTTCTAATTCAATCAGGGTTGTGTAAAGTGGACCATCATTGGTTTTGTTGTTGTGCGAATGTGTTTCCTCTTAGAAGTGTTAGTGAGCTGACCTTTTATCCTTTTTGCACTTTCTTGCTGGTTGAATTTGAACACTGGCAGAGGTTAAAATGACTAAATTGAGGCTGGTGTACTTTGGGCACAGTGTGAAAAGACAATTCTCCCTGAAAGAACCAATAATGCAAAGGAAAAACTGAATAGGAAGAGAGGAAGACCTGGTGAAAATGGATTGACTCAGTAAAGGAAACCTTGACCTTGAGGATTAAGACTTGAGCAAGGCGGTTGATACTAGAACCTTTCAGAGGCCACTAACTCATAGAATCACCCTAAGTGGGAAAACAACAGCCTATAGCATAGCACTTTGTCTTTTGAAACTTAAATCATAGGGAATAGAATTGCCATATGGAGACTTTGTTTTTTAGATCAGCCTTAGACATAGGATTATTCTTTGCATGCCTGTTTAATAGAATAGTGGTGCTATTTTTCCTTTTTGACAAGAGAGAGACTGTTTTGCTGTTGTGGAGCTGAATTACTTCAAGTACACTTTTTTTAAAAAAAATTCATAACTCAGTAAGCATTGATTAAAATAAGTTTTATTATTTGCCAGGTTTAATTATATGCTACATTGTTTCCTTTCTAGCTACAGCATTCACTAAGAACTTGGGTTAATAGACGTATGTATTGCTGACTGAAATAACAATGGGTCCTCAGAAGCAAGGGGTTGTGTCTGGATGCTTCTTCTCATTGTGTTCTGGCTCTTTTAATCCTGGAAGAGAGAGAAAGGAAATGATGGATTACAAGCAGATTCTTAAAGCAACTTGATCATGATTGTTAAGCTTGCTTGTTCCATTTATCAAAATGGAAATTAATCTAATTTTATTTATTTATTTATTTATTTTATATCCCGCCTATCTGGTTGGTCAAGACCACTATAGGCGGCTAACAGCATAAAATAGAACAGTGAATATATAAAAAACAATTTTACATAAAAATATACATAATAAAATAGACAAATAGAAGGGAGAAAGGGCATCAGGGATTGACTGGAAGGCCTGCCGAAACATCCATGTTTTAAGTTGATTTTTAAAGGTACTCAGTGAGGGAGCCATACGAATCTCAGGAGGTAGGTTGTTCCAGAGGCGAGGAGCCACCACCGAGAAGGCCCGATTTCTTGTCTTTTCCTTCCGGGCCTCCCTTGGCATTAGGCTCCTCAGCCTCATCTCCTGACTCGCACGAGTGACACGGGTAGATCTTGGTGGGAGAAGGCGTTCCGCCAGGTATCGAGGCCCTAAGCCCTTTAATGCACACATAAATACACTTTTACTATTCTGTTCTGTAAAAAAAAAAAAGCATAGGTCAGGGGCCCTAGCTCACATGAGTACCCTGTTAATTGTATCTGCTACACTGTGCTGTTTACATATTCCTAATGAACCAAGGCCTTGGAAACTCAGTGCAGTCTTGTGCATTTTGAAAGTTCAGAATTCTGTAGAAGTATTCTTTTAATCTGAAATATAAAGTAATATATTCCTTATTGGTAAAAACAATATCTGATATGACATGGTGAATAGTTTTGTGTCTATAGTTTAATTTTTCACTTGGAATTACTAATGGGTAAAATTAGATTAAAAGTTTGGATCTTAGTTGAACTGTGAGAAATCAATTTTCATCTATACTTAATTTGACATCCGGAAAGTTTTCCTTTGGACAAACTCATGGAGATAACTTCTGTTTACCCAGTAAAAGTATATGCAGTTGGGATCACACAGTTTTTGTTTTTGTTTTACTTGCCACAGGTTATTATAGTTATTCTTCTAGGCAATATTTCAGAGGGGGCATAAAATAAATGTATCTTCACATATCTAGGCTATTTGGGGTTATCAAACTTTGGTCAAAAGAAGAGAGAGCTCCAAATGTTTTCAAAGGATTTTTTTTTAAAAAAATAACTTTTGAGACTTAACAAACTTTATACAGTACATATAGCATACTGTGTACTGACAGTAACAACAAGAAGAACAACGGCAACAGTAGTGCAGTACTACAGAAGTTCTTACCACTTCTTCTTGCTTGGTCTTATCGGGTACTGGCCATGATTCAAGAGGTGTATCTGGCATCAGTGGAGGCAGTGGCTGCATTGGGAACATTGGCTGATTTGGATGTGCTGGTAGCTGAGGGTGCATTGGCTGATTTGGATGTGCTGGTAGTTGAGGTTGCATCGGTGCCTCTCCTGCAACTGGTGGAAATGGCTGGTGAACTGGACCTGCATGAGCTGGTTGATACTGTGGCGTTAATGTACTCTGCCCAGTCATTGGCACAAGTGTGTTATGCCCAGGTAGCTGCATGTGTGGGTTCAGAGGAGGCTGTTGCTGCACCTGGTGGAGAGGTGGTGGCATTGGATGGAGAGTTTGAAAGGGAGCTTGGTGCATCATTGACCCTGGACTGTGGTGCATCCATCCTCCCATTGGCTCGTAACCATAACGTGGATACTAATAAGAGAAAAGGAAATAAGATGCATTAGGATATTTACATAATATTGGTAGTACTGGTATCAGTGAAAGTACCAACATGGTAGGTAATTTACATATCATGTGAGAAAGATGGAGAGGTGAGTAGGAGAGAAACCAGAGTGGATAAAAATCAGTGATTTTTTAAAAGAGGAGAGAAACAAGACTGAATAAAAATTAATGATTTTTTAAAAATCCAATTGATTTAAATGGCAGTATTACAGAGAACATACCTGGTGTCCCATTACACGGCAATATCACAGAGAACATACCTGGTGTCCCATTACACCCTGGTACCATTTCAAAGGTGTCATTACCTTAGGAGACATGAAACAAATATAAACTGACATTCTGGTTATCATACTGAGCATTTCAGTTAGATCAAGCATTCTGATCTCACTTTTCCTATGTTGTTAACAAATTACTGAACATGAATATCTTAAAATCTCACTCTGTTAAATTTCCAGTAATGTATGAAAAATCATTATTCCCAGGTGTATCTAAATATTTAATGTACTATCTTTGATTTCTAGTGCTGACGTCTTGTGTAGTTGGATAGATCTTCCATTTCAATTAAGTAGTACTATCCCTTCCCTTAAATTCAAGCAAGATGTATATGGTATATAGTTATGTAGTTTTACTGGCTGCTTTGTATACAAACATATATGCTGAAAAACTATGGATAGCACAGTGGTACCAAGAAAGAAAAAACTATTTCTCTACTAGTATAGCACATATTTTGTTCCAAAATATACATATTTGCAAACATATTTCAGGAAAACATAACCTGAAACATATGCTACCTAAATTTATTATACCACTTCTGACTGTCAGTGGCAAAGTTTTATCTCACAAAGAGACAGATTTAGTGACACATGAATTGATTTATGGTACAGGTTCTATTCTGTATTAATTTACACATGAAAAACATGGATAAAATATTATACCTCATAGCTGAAATTGATAAAACCAGGATGTTGGGGTAGCTGTAAAAAAGAAGGAAACAGAGAAAATAATATTGTTGGAAGATGAACTGATTTCAGTTCATCCTCCCCCCAGTCTGTGTGACTTTTTACACAGATGGATCACTTTTTATAAGTCATAGGTATATTAGTTGTGTAACTTTTTACACAGATGGATCACTTTTTATAATTCATATTTCAAAATAGTAAGAACAATAAGCATATATCTTTAAAATATATGTCTAAGTTACTTTAAATATATGCTTGAAAATATGAATTTCTAAACAAAGACTTCTGTATTTTTATTCAGATATATCTTGTTGAACAGCCTATATATAGTGTCAGTGTCCAAGCAACATGAATTAGGAAGACTGGATTAACAAAGAAAGAGTGTGAGAATTCTGCATTTTATTTATCTGCAGGGTGTCCCCCCACTTCCCACTACCCCCTTTGTTTGATGCACAACAGGCCTTTGTGCTACCCTCTCTAAAATTTAAGCTATTTCTTGTAAATTGATTCTAGCAGAGTAGGTGATTGATGGGGTAATAACTAATGAATGGGTGTTAATTTTAAACCAAGAATTAAATAATCTGTGGATTATCGTAATGGATGTTGAACTTTAGCTAGTTTATCAAAAAGAGATTTAAAATGGGTCAAAAAGAAGTCATAGGTTTGCATAAAATGTGCAGATGTTGAGGTAGATGTATGATTCAGAAATAATTACTATGGTTTAAACAGAAATACTCTTCACAATATTGGGAAAGTCAGACTACATAGGACTACTGCCCATGTAGTCTGGCTGCCTGCTTATTTTGTTTCCAGTGTGATAGATATAGATGGATAGTTTCAAGTTCCACATTCTCCTTTCTTGGGGAACTTGGGCTGAAATCTGTTTGCTTGTCTCAACTAGAGGTGATCCATTTAATCAGTTGCTTCATGTTAAAGTCAACTCTTACATAAACCACATCGATTCAATGTGCCTAATCTGGTTGGAATCAGCCATTGAATGCTTTTAGCTTTAAACTTGGATGAGACAGCCCTCCAAGGCGAGGACTCTGTAAAAAAGTAGAAAATGAAGAGCACTAGCATACTGCAGCTTGGCCACCATAATTGTTAAAATTCACCATCATGAACTGTTAATTGTACACTAATTGCTATAATTCAGTTATTTGTTGTTAGTTATTAGGTAACTTACTGGAATAGCAAGTGTAGTACATAAGAGGCTCATAATCAAAGTCCAGCCCTCCATCTTTCTCATCCTGGGTCCTGTAATGTAAAAAGAAAAGGTTTTTTTTTCTTCTTCTTCTTCTTTTGATAAGTCAAGTGAAAGCATTAAAAAGTACATAATTAATACTAGTGTGTGTCCTCTGTTCCTTGTTGAACCAAGTTTTATAAAGGTGAGCTGCTCTGTCTCTTTTTAATGCTAATGGCTTTGGACACAATACAGTGAAGTCACTTGGATATTAAAGGGAGAAGAGGATATGCAAGGAGTCTTATCACCAAAACAAAATGGGCCTTAAAGTAGTTGACTTTGTGGATGTTTACCCATTGATCTACAGCTATATTAAAGATGATAATTAAAGTACTGTCTTTTTTATCTTCAGATTTGCATGGAATTTTCTGACTTGAGTTTTGTCTTCCTATTTTGGGTTCCCATTGTAGTCTGAGATTTGCTTATTTATACATGACAGTTGTTTTAATCACTGTTGGAAATTCCCTTCCCTTATGCAGTGTGTGTGTGTGTGTGTGTGTGTGTGTGTGTGTGTGTGTGTGTGTGTGTGTGTGTGTGTGTGTGTGTGTGTGTAGGAATAATGTAATATACTGACATCTTACAGCAAGTAGGTAAAATTTTGATTGCATATTACAATTTGGCTTTCAATTAAGCAATGGACATGGCAAAAGCAAGCACGTTCTCTGACAAAGGAACCATTTTTGCCTTCTAGTTTGTTTTCAACACTAGCACTTTTTTGTTTCTAACAGAATGTACCATGGGCTTCATTTAAATTAAAATCAATACATCTGTCAAACATCTATATTAATAACTACAGAAAAAGAAAAGTTGAAAGATCTGTTTCACCCAAAACTATGCTTGCCTCGTGTGGACAAAGCAGAAGGGAAAGAGGAGCAGCAGGGACTCTGCTTATATTTTCCTTTACTTCTCGTTTGTTCTTCCTTTAAATAATTTCTCTCCCACTGTATCCAATAAGAGTGAAATTATGTACAGAGCTCCATGGCTCATATACCCCCTTTCAGGTTGGGGGCATGTCTGGAAATTGGAAGCACTTTGTATCTGGAAAACTCCCCTGACCTGTCCATGGTGCACTACTAGTCTGTCCTTTTTGTCTGCATTGATATCAGATCTCCAACATTGAAGAGGGCAGAGACTAGAGGTGGGGTGGGGAGATTCCAAAGTTCAATTCCTCCTTTGGGTGCAGACTTCTCTCTCCACACTTACTATATGTGGTTTTTAAAAACAATTTAATTCGCCAATCTATTCAGTTAGATTACATTTCATTTACCTACATTTCATTTACCAAAAGAGCCACACACTCTTATGATCCCTGCAGCACCCTCATCGGACTGCAGTCTAAATTGACATATATTTATGATACTGCATTCTGCTAGTTCAAGATATTCAAAAAGTCACCTTCTTTAAGCAATTTAATGAACCAGTTAATTAACTGGTCAATGTCTAGAAGAGACAGTCAGTTGACAGTTCTCATTCGAAGCCTGCCAATTTAAGAAATAGAATTTTACAAACTGAGAAGGTTGAAAGGAAGCAGAAATGAAAAATACTGTAATGTTAATACTCTCAGAAAGTCTCTAAAGGTCATTACTAAAGTTTTTATTCTACGTTTTCTAAGGATCCCGAATAAAAATTTAAAATATACATGCTTTGACCAGTACAAATATGCTTAGTTTTTAGTGAGGAAGAGGAATGTAAAAGCCAGAAATACTGCTTTTCATTCTGGTGATGAACTACAGTATAGAGAGGCCAGAGCTAAACTGAAAAGGGGCATTAGGTATTTAAACAGTATAGACCTTCTAGCTGAAGATTTAGTACTCTATTTCAAGACTATCAGGAGATACTGAGAGGATTACTAATGGGGAAAAAAGTAATAACTTTACCTTTTGGAAGTTCTCTTGGATTCTTGATATGTGTTTTGTTCCAGGAGTCTTGGTCAGTGTATGATCTTTGGCTTCTTTGGCTTGTATTTAAACTGTTTCAACACACCATGACAGCCAATCAGTGTTGAAGATCTTTTGCACATGCCCATGCACGCACGCGCACACCTACCCACACCAGTTGTGTCATACATTTTCAGACATCAAATCACACCCTACAGTGAATATTGTAATTAAGGTTTGTGGAGCCTTTCATTATGCATGGATGGCTTCAGAAGGCATATTATTTTGCTTTTCTAAATTACTTGGGATGCTTCAAAGATGTTTGTATAGACTTGGATTAATTGTGCCTGAGTTCAGTAATTCAACTAATTGTGCCAGAGTCCAGTGATCATTTGGCCATCTCTTCAACTTGCCATAGGTTGCTTCTACAAATAAAGTTTAAAAAGCCACATTGTCACCTTTTTTCTTTAACTTACATTGGCCAGTCAGTTAAGAATGAGAGAGAGACTTTGTAGCATTGTCAAAAATAAAGTACAGAGATGTGCTGTAAATGATCAGGGTAGGCAACAACATTCATGAAAATGAAACCTTTGATAAGAAGAGAAGTTTGCTAACATGGCTGGGATAATCTTAGTTTTGTTTCCGTCCCACAGCTGTCACATCCCAGCTCCATATTATCAGATGAGACCTTTGGTCTGTGGATTTTTAGCATTCCTTATGTCTCAGGAAGGTTTTATTGAAGTAAGGTGGTAGCAGGGGTTACTGTGAGGGTGTTTTTTTAAAAAATCCACCAATCCATTCAATCAGATTGTGTGTGTTTAGTCGTTTAGTCGTGTCCGACTCTTCGTGACCCCATGGACCAGAGCACGCCAGGCCCTCCTGTCTTCTACTGCCTCCCGGAGTTGTGTCAGGTTCATGTTGGTTGCTTCGCAGACACTGTCCAGCCATCTCATCCTCGGTCGTCCCCTTCTCCTCTTGCCATCACAC